TGTAGAGAAACTAAAAACCATAACCAGCACGCAAACATAGAAAACTGCTCAGTCCAGCACTGCATGATGGGAAATGTGGGCAGACGCTGCAGTATTTTAACACACATTACAAACCTGTAAACTGACAAAATGTAGATGAGTGCATTTATTCTTTTTACGGGGCCTCGCCTTTACGAGCGTGCAGAGATTAACGTGAGAGGGAATCTGATGCTTTGCAGACAACAAAAGAAACGAGGTGATGTTTGGACCCATTTTCATTCCAATGAGGGTGAGAAAAGAAAAGCCCTGAAGACATTGCTTCATCAGAAGGGAACGTGGCCATAAAACATCTGGTGAGAACACAAACCAGCAGAGACTCTTCGGAAAGTGAGGCAGGTTTTAAGACGGATTAAGACAGTAGCACGGACGCTCCGCTGAAATAACAGATCGTGGAGCCAAAGATTTGCACTCAGCTTCAACGACCACAAACCAGACCTGAGATCTCTGAGTAGTCCTGGACCTCAGACCTCAGTTCAAGCTTCCACATAAAGACAATTCCCTGAAGAATAAAAACAGACCTCCAGGTGGTCTGGGATCAGGTCCCAACCTAAAGCTGGAGAAGCAGCGTTTAATAGTTTTCATGCTCCACAAACCTGAAACAAAGATCTTTTAAAATCTGTGCACGGTTCGTTCTTTGATTTAGTTTAAAAACCGAATCGGAAAAATATTGATTTAATGTGTCCGACTTGTGTAGCTTTGTGTGCTGCACTTGAATTACCTGCTGCAGATACACTGGGGCGAGGGCGGTGCCTGAGTGAACTGAACACCAACCAGCGTTTGTCCCTGCATAGAGAAATTTTTGGCGCCGCCGAAAGAGGGTACAGCGAGCGACAAAGGAAGATCACCAGCGCCAAAATGATCAGAACTGGGGGGGGGGGGGCACAAATGTTCCCACGAATGTTTAATAGCCATTTATCCACAGCCGCTGGATTTTACACCTGCAGCTGGCGTCGGATTAATAAACCAGCTGCTGCGCCTGAACGCTCGTGCAGCCGCGTGTGTTAAGTCGTGAACCGACCGGCCAGGAGGAGGCGGGACATTAAAAAAAGGTTGAGACAGCAAAGTTTTGAAATGTCGAACTCGTCGTTCTGGATGCACGGTTTTTATTACTGACGAGTTAATTTGCATAAACAAAGTCTCACCACCTTGTAGAGCAACTTTCTTACGCAATAATTTAATGAAAACAACCCACAAAATGAAACTGCTGTTTTGTCCAACTGGAATTAATGTTACAGGCTACTAACGGTACGCTGTGATCTGAAATTATAATAAATACACAAACATCAGCACTAATCACACCTCAGCCGCAGCCGTGTGGGCTGATACCAGAGACCGCTGAATCTAAAACTATCTGTAGGCAGATCATCCAAATCAGGACTAACATGTAAATATATTCTCATACTAACATTAAACCTCCAGGTTGGGGATTTGTTTTCTTAATCAAATGTAGAGATTTCGCTCACTCATTGCCTTTCCTGTACTGATCATGCTTACTGTCCCGCTAAGTCAAGTTTTAGTTCTTCTCTCTTTATGCTCTTTTTTTAATAAAGTTGGTTGTTACTCAGTTATTCGCTTAATCTCTCAGCAGCAAGATGTAATTTCCACGACAGTAAACAGCCAACGTGAACTGTTATTAGTGAACTCGGCGAGCCGTTTCATCAGTTTGTCTTATCCCTCCTTGTTAAAAAGCCTCGTGTGGGACAAATAAAGTTGCCTTATTCTGGACGTGGGAGTAAAATCGCGCTCAGGTTCAGGATGTGATTGGCCGTCACTGCTGTGAGGTCACCGTGCGTCCCGAGCTCCTCTCTCTCACGCCACCGGCCTGGTTTTTCAGGGAGGGCTGGGGTTTGCGTGTCAGCAGTGTGTGTGTGTGCGTTCGAGTGAGCATCAATGTGTGCATGCATGTGTGACAGTGAGGCGGCGGCGGCGGCCTCCTTCCTCACGTGTCTCTGCATGTGTGTGCGTGCTGCAGCAGCGGCGGTGCAGCTGAAACACACCCAAACAAAGCAGCGTCTGAACGTGACTGACAGAGTTTGTGATGGAGGAAGTCAGTCCTGCTCTGACGGATTAGTTTCATCTGATCCTCCGCACAAACACTCGCCACGTCACAGGCGTCCCGTAGATTCAAACCCGTGGAAATTATTTTTTTAAGACTTTAACTCCTGCAGATGCAACATTCTGCCGACATCGCTGTTTCCTATTAGAGAAAATGATTCCCAGTTAATATTTATAATATTTAATCAGAGGAACACCAGCTTTAATTTTGTCAAATTAAAATTTAAAAAACAAATTACGACAAACTCTTAGGTCATTGTGCAGGTTCGAACGTTTGTTTGTTTGTTGTTTTTCTAACCGATCGCGTGTGTGCATGAATCTGCGAGGCCAAATTCTCGGTTCTTCCCTGCTCAGTTCACGCCGAGTCCAAGTCAGGTAGGAAGGAAAGAAGAGAAAGGACTTCTGGGTAACAGCTCAGCTGCTGTGAAGCACAGTCACACGTCCTGGGTAATTAAAAACACACATTTCAAGGTCTGCTTGCTTCTAACAGGAAGTTGATTAAAACATTGACTACGATTAAAACAGAGGTCCCTTTAAAATGTCTCGGACCAACTCGCCGGCTGAAGGATAACTGGGACTATTTTTCGCCCGCATCTCTGGCTTTTTCGCCCGCATCTCTGGCTTTCTGAACTTCAGGCAGTTGCCCTTTCTGAGTCGTCTTTTCTAACAGCTCGTGCACGGCGAACACGCCGCGGTCCAGAGCGTAAAGCTGAACACCGACGTAAACAGGAACGTTACCAGCGCCGCCGTCTAACATCAGAGTCACACCAGACGGAGTAAATTATAAAGTCGCTCATATTTATGACGTTACGGCATTTATTTAATCCTAAGAAAGGACAAGAAAAAATATAAAGACCTTTTTAAACCAAATGTAATCCTTGTAAGGCCCCGCGGGTCCCCTGGAAACCGCTCAGTATAAACGCAGCGTGCGGTCCTGCGTCTGGATTCAAACATTAAACTCCAGTTCAGTCTGCGGTTTTAAACCAGGTATAAACTGATAATCTCTTTGGGTTTGTTGGTCGGATGAAACTTTACGGATCAATGAAGAACGTGTGTCGCAGCGTCGACGATCTTTGTACTTCTCGTCACTTCGTTTGTTTCTGAAAGGGAACGTGGCGCTCACAAATTTGCAAATATCAAGAACACCGCAAACAAAGCAGCGCATTTTGTTTTGCATATACAAAAACGTGCCTATCAAACAAACACACGACACAATCTAACAGAAATGCACACATCGTTTGCAACCCTGCAAATAAAACAACACATCCGCTGGTTTTGGTTTTTGGCACAGTCTGAATGTGCTGAGGATTTTCTCACAAAGATTTCCATGAACTTTAAATATCATACAACAAAAAGATGAAGAAAAGTCTTAAAATAAGAATTAAATATAATTAACACTTATGTGTATTTTAATGATGTCCGCTCTGAGCGCTGGTACCGTAACAGCACTAATAGACGAGCATCAAAATCCAAGCGGTGGCTGGTTTGACCTCAGTGACCTTGGCGTTAAAGGAGGTGTGGTGTAAGGAAACTCCCCGTCAGGAAACCCGTTCCTTGCATTTAACACTAAACGACACAGTAACGTTTGAATAAATATGGAGGTCAAGTTCAGTTTGTGCTAAAACTGTCCCGAGTGAAACCGACAGGTGTCAGGTGTCAGGTAGACGACAGAAACGGTCTCCATGACGATCCCACAGCTGGACACCGTGTCGCAAAAAAGTGTGCGATTTAATAAAACAGTAAACGTGCGTGGCGCTCTCAGGGCGCGCTGCAGTCTCGCTCGAGCGCGAACATGAGGCTCCACGAACAGACGGGTGCGATCAGAAGAATGATTTATGAGCAGCGTACCAGTAACCTAGCAACGTTCGACTAGTAGCTTCACTACTATATGAAATTATAATGAACGTATTGAATGATGAAAACGTCGACCGTGTGACGGAAATCTTTTTTATACCAAGAGTTTTTAGTTTCACCCTCCGTTTTGTCCTTCTGCATTAACAACTGTTATTAATCTACACTAGTATCCTAAGGTTTCCACAGATGCACCTCGTGCTCCTGAAACCCACCCCTGACCTCTGCGCCCCCCTTCAGTCCAAAACCTGTTAGAACTAAAATGGACTGCGTCCAGACGGAGGCTCGTCGAGCTCGGCCTGAACTAAAACTCGGATGTGGAACAGCAGTCGGCCTCCTGCAGACACGGTCTGGCCTTTGGAAGTTGACCTGGCGACGCGTTCGAGCGCTTCTCCTGGAAGGAAAATCTGACTTAAAACCCGTGAATTTTCACCACCAACCATGCAACATCTTTGTCCTTCCCTTTTTTACGCCTCGGCCCTTTTCTCCTCCAGTCAAACACCGGTTTAACCTCGCATAGGGGGTCCGGCTCCATGTGGGCCTACGACCCCGTCAACCACAAGGCCGTCTCCTGCAGTCTGTTGCTTCTTTGTCCAGGTCTCCACCACGATGGCTGTAAATCTTACTTCATGAGCTACAAGCCTCGGAGTAGAGGCCTCTTTAACTTTTTAAAGCCAGGTTTCCTCCTGAACTTGGTCTGTCAAAAGCTTCACACTAACCTCATATCACGTGACCTAACAGGCTGCACAACAGTTAATTATTTACACCCATTATATCCTGCCCCACCTCCATTCTGCTCCAATTAAACCCCCAATTAAAAAGTAGTCCTGACCCAGTTCGGGCTGCCCTCCTTGCCTGTGTGTGTGTTGCTTTCGGGACTGAGGCTTCAGCCCGTGAACCTTGTTTTTAATCACCTGCAGGCCTCACTTCCTCTGCAGTTTACTCATAAACACTAAGCGGCTGCAGAGTTACGCAACACCGCGTTGTGGTGCCGCTGGAGGCCGAAACAGAGGGAGGAGTGCCCGTGTGTGAGTGTTGTGTAACGGGGTGCCTACCCACGACTCGTCCTCTCTGCTCCAGGCGGCGTGTGTCGGTGGACAGGCCGGGCTCGGCGCTGTGCGCTCCGGGGGCGTGGAGCCTCTGCTCGGGCTTTGTTCTGCCGCTGTCCGCCCTCTCGTCCCCCGCCGTCTTACCAGCCTTGTTTTTAGGGGAGCCGCCCCCGCCGACGTCCGCGGTGTTGGCGTTGGCTCGGCCCCGGTTCTCCCGTGACTGCAGCTGGAGCAGGAGCCGCCGGTTTTCTTGCTCCTTCACGGCCGTCTCCAGCAGCAGCGTGTTCAGGCTGGAGCCCACAGTCTTGCTTATTTCCTGGACGGCGAGCTGAACGACTTGCTCCAGCACGGACTCCAGCTGGCCCTGGAAAAACGAAATGTACACGGCGCCGTTCATGTTTTCGCCCCCTCCTAAGAGGGCTCTCTCATTCTTCTGTACCCGAGCCCCCAGCCCGACCCCCGCTGGCCTGTTTCCCCGACGGAAAACTGGGTAAGAATCGGCCCCGGGTCGCTCGGCTGTTCCCGCTGCTGCTCCGGCTGCGGCTGCGGCTGCTGCTCGCCGCAGCTCGCGTGTTCGTTCAGCCCCTTCGGAGAGGCTACCGGAAAGACCCGAGTAGAGGCGCAGCAGCATTTGCCCGCCCACATGTCGTTAGCACGCCATTTTAGCTTTCAGAAAATAACATCAGTCATTTCCCCAAATGTCAGCACAGACTCGGCAGCATGTTATTACACCAAAATACCTTCAAATTACACAGAACGGAGATAAGAGCAGTTCCACCAACCCGCCAGACTCAGACTGGTGGCTTCTTCTTTATCTTGAAAGATCATCTCAGGATGTGAGAGTCACTGGTAGTTGCAGTAAAATCCTCTGTTTAGCGGTGCTTAGGAAGCACTTTTGTTTAGGCTACATGTTCATTTATTAAGTACAACACCTGAAATATGATCTGTGTCGAATGTTGAAACTAACAATTATTTGCTGATCTTGATTAATCGTTTGGTTTATTTAAATGCAACATGCTCATTAAGGTTTTCAAATGTCAGATATCCAGTTTACTGTGATCCAATAAAGTCTTCAAAATTGAGCTGGAAAGTTGTTATTGTGCTTGAAAAATTGCCAATTACGTTTTTGTCAATCGATTATTCAACTTCGTTTAAGCTCTGGTAAAATGTCTTAATTTATGGATTTATTAATAAACAACACAAGCTAAAGCCATTAACAAGAACAACTCTTGATTTGGTAGAACCTTCAATTATGTTTTTGTGTTTTCATGTGGACAGTTTTTTTTTTTAAAAGGAGGAAAATTGTATATGAAAGTGTATGTTTGGACTAGGCCTAATAAAGTATTTGATTCGATTAGATTATTCAACTTCATTACAGACAGCATCTAGTTAGCTAGTTTAACTACTTTATACTTTATATGGTTAGCTAGTTTTAACCGCTTTATACTTTATATACATATACATTACATTACTTAGCTGACGCTTTTATCCAAAGCCACTTACAATTGCTAGACTATATATGTCAGACGCCTATGGAGCAACTAGGGGTTAAGTGTCTTGCTCAGGGACACATTTGTACAGTTAGCTAGTTTCAATCACTTTGTATACAGTTAGTTTTAACTACATACAGTTAGCTAGTTTTAACCACTTTATTACCGTAAGTTAGTTTCAATCACTTTGTATACAGTTAGTTTTAGCTACTTTATATACAGTTAGCTAGTTTTAACCACTTTCAATACCGTAAATTAGTTTCAATCACTTTGTATACAGTTAGTTTTAGCTACTTTACATACAGTTAGCTAGTTTTAACCACTTTAAATACCGTAAGTTAGTTTCAATCACTTTGTATACAGTTAGTTTTAACTACTTTATATTCATTTATATATAGCTTGCAGCTATTAATGATTCACAGTCTGTTGATGTATGTGTAATATTAGATCATTTGAGGCATTGAACAGTTATTAAATGAAACGTTTAGAGTTTAAATCACTTTTGGTGGAACTGTGAACAACTCATAAACATTTGAAACATGACAAGGAATAGTTTCCACCACTGGTGTTCAGTCGGTCACACAGGTTTGCATTGTAAATGAGATGGGGTGTTTCACAGTGACTCTTATAATATCTGACACAATACCTGCCCTCATTTCACATTTACCAAGTATCCGGTTTCAGCCACGTTAACATGAAACCTATTATGTTAATTCCTAAGGTCCATACATTTTATCAGTGTATAAGTAATGCATTTACTACAGTATGGATCTTCAGGTTTGTCCCTCCAAACAGATTAGGAACTCCGTCTCAACATGACCGATAACATGTTCCACATGCATTATTATAGTCTACACTGTAATCACTTACTGTCGTGTAACATGATTACAGTCTACTAAACCAAAGGCCAGTGCCCACACACTTCCTGCTTAGTTTCTGTTCCACTTACCCTTTGTTGTTATCTTACAAAGATAAAAGACAAATAATTAGCATTGAAGAACTTCAGGCGTTAAAATGCTCAACCCTTACAAATTAATGCATCAGATAATACAAAAATACTGACAGGATAATTTTACTGCAACATGAATACTTTTACTTTAAGAGTACTTTGAGTATTTTTCAGCATCATGTTTTTGTGTCTATGTGACTAATTGTGACAACATTTTTTAAAACCGTTCCAGCATTGAGGGAGCGCGCTGCAGTCAGTCAGTTAGGGCTGCAACATAGGGCTAATCCTTTGCGTTTAAGTACATCCACTAAAGTGCTTGTTTTTGCCACCGACAGGCTCAGATTTTGATTACAAGTGTTTGACAACGTTATGGAAAGGATCCCTACAGAGAGTAAGATCCTTTTTGTTTAACCAGAAACAGTCGCTAAATCGCTCTTGTCAAAGCCACCAGACTCCATTGATAAAAACAGTCACACAATAACACAAAAGAAGGCACCCAATAACACAAATAAACAACCTGACCAAGGCAGCGGTAGACCTTCAACTCCCTTTTACTGCAAGGTAAAATTACTGTTTTTATCAACTGTGTCTGGTGGCTTTGACAAGATGTAGTGACTGTTTCTGGCTGAACAAAAAACCTTACTCTTTCAGAAATAAACAAAGTCATACAATAACACAAACAAACAAAAACAACATTTTGCTGATCATCGGCTATACACACTTTTGTTTTTAATGCAAGACTTGTAACAGAGTATTTGTACACTGTGGTATTGCAACTTTTACTTGAGTACTGGATCTTCTTCCACTTCTACATGTATGAGGTAATCTATAATCTATAATAACAACGGGTTGGACAGCTGCCCTGAGAGATAGATAATATGGTCCTGCTGCAGCAGCCTGGCTGTAATGATCTGTTATCATGCATCTGCAGTGGCCGTAATCACGGCTTTGTTTGGGGCAGTAAAATCCTGACTCATCGGCATTACATCACTGTCAGCATCACGGAGTGTCAGCAGCGGAGAGAGGAGGGGGTGCAGCTCTGCTTTGTGTCCGCGGAGGCAGCGGCCTTCTCCGGCTCTGATTGAACGGCACGCCGCAGCAGAGGGACACTCCCCCCAAAAAATCCTACGCGTTTGCTCCAGGCGCTACGGTAACTGGAGAAGCGCCCGAGCCCGCTACGTCAGAGGAGGGCGGAGTCAGCATCATGATCGATTTACTCTTTTTTGTTTTGAGGGGCTGAAAGAGCTGCACCTGGCCTGGACCACACGCCCCCCTTTCCCCGCGGCCTTCGCTCCCTCTGCTGCCGCCTGTGTGAAGCCTTGAGGCGGCCTGCAGCTCCAGGAGCGGCCCGCTGACTGGCTGGATGTTTGCTACCTGGTTTCCGTTTGCAGGCCTGTGCTGTGAATCTAACATGTGCGTGCAACACTGTTATGTCACCTTAGTGTGTTTACACGACATGCTCGTGCGGACTCAGAGATGAGTGGGGAAGTGGTTTCTATAGTTTCCTTCTGATTCATTTGGTTTGCACGCATCCTTACTCAATCCTGTAAAAAGAAACTCAAACGCGCTGTAATCATCACAGCTGCCTTACTGTGCAGAATTTAGTGCTTGTAATCTTTGAGGCTTGAGGGCTAGTTCTTTCAGTGACCCATTAACTGTTTAAATCCTTTTTAATCAATACAAATTACAAAGAAACAGCAAACAATATTTATTATGAAGTGAATTTATTTGATTGACATTTTGCCTGCACACAAAATCGTTCTGATTTTGATCCTGAGGGTTTGTATAACCCTGCACATTTCTGGTTTTGGTGTATTGCAAAGACTGTAAATGGTGTATTGTCAAATTGTAGCCCTCTATATGGAAGCCAAATGCTGCCAGAAAAAGAAAATAACCTTTATAATGACAAAATGAATGAAAAATACTCATAGTACGTTAAAACCTATATACTTCATATAGGTCAAAATTAAGATCTTTTAATTTAATATAATAAGACAGTAGCTCCATATTATGAGATAATAACATTATTATGAATGAGAAGAATGTCAAAAAATTAATATTATTACTTATGGAGTAAAAATACGAGACAAATCAAAATTATGGTATAGTAACATAAATCCGACTATATTTTAATATTTAAAAAATATGTATTTTCAAGTCAAATTTTAAGATAAGATTAGATTTTAACATAGTCAAATTATTTATGTGTTGTTTATTTAATTCCAGAAATAGTTTGAAGCTTTTTGGTTTTTAAGATCTCAGAATTAGAAATCAGAATCAGAAATACTTCATGGATGTATTTTTTGAAAATTCTTGGAAAGGGAAGGGGACATTTGTCTCTGCATTTAATTCATCCTAATTAGGAACAGTGGGCTGCCTTCATACTGGGAGCAGTTGAGAATTAAGGGCCTTGCTCAGGGACAACTTCAGCAATGGCTCATGCTGGACTTGATCTGGCAACCTACCGGTTCTGACTGAGCTAATGTCGCCCATCTGCAGTCCCTCACAATTAAAACATGCGACAGAACAGCACTAAAAACAAAGACGCTTAATACAGAGTTAAACAGCAACAAAACTAATTTAGAGAATACACAAAGCACAGATATTAATATACAGAGCAAAACAAAGTTGAGTAACTTTAATCGTGACTTTAATCAAAACTACTGTGTTTTTAAGTCAGAGTTATGAGGTTTGGATCACAGACAGTATATAAGAAGTGGACGTAGTCACCGTGACGTCAACTAACGGTTTGTGGACTGCTGTTCTGAAGCCTCGAGTTTGGCATTTTGGCCGTCACTATCTTGGTTTTTTGGAACTAGACGTGACCATATTTGGACGAGAGGGTGGAGCTAGCTAGCTTGGTTAGCTATCAGCATCTGTAAATCATGTTAACTGTGACATTAGCTGGGATGCTAATTTTGGCTAGCGACAAACAGCCTTAAAACAAAATGTACTTACTGTAAAAAACGAACAGCCGACTCCTAATAAGCTTTTTCAGCAGCGTTGGTTAAATGTACACAGAGCAGCGGATACGAGTCGCCTCTATCCTGATTGACATTGCTATGATAACGACTTGTCAATCAGCTTGTAGCCCCGCCCTAAAGCCTCCCCTGCTTCCTGGTCTCTGTTCCTCTAAATGGGACCATAATTTACTAAATGAACATCATGCTGTGTTGAAGAAGACTTGAAACTAGCGACTGAGACCATAAACTCATCAGGAAAGTGTTTACTGAGGGAATAAATCAGCTGACAAGTAGAAACATTTTCTCAGAGACTTCTATACAATCACACTTCTTTCTGCAGCGCTGGAGTCGCCCCCTGCTGGCTGCTGGAGAGGACGCAGGTTTAAGGCTCTGCAGCATTGGCTTCCTTTTTCACAACCCGGAGCTTCCTGTTTGGTTTTATTTTGGTCAGAAAGTCACAATTAGTCTCAGACTTTTTGACATAATTTGACCAACAAACCATAAAGTTTTTTATTTAAATCATTCTTAATGTCTTTTTTGTTTTGCCTTGGCTGTAAAGTTATTCCATACTTATTATATTATATTATTATGTTATTGAAACATTGTGTCTTTAAACTCGCGCTGACGCTGCTGACATATGAACCCATTTACTGTTTAAAAACTTTACTTTTAAACTTTTTACATTGTGTTTTGTTGCTGCATATGTTACTTTTCTTTACCAGGGATCGCCTTCCTAAATTAAACTGTGCAGAGGGGAGAGCGTTTGACCTTGAG